GAAATCGACTGAATATGTTATATATATATATATATATATATATATATATATATATATATATATATATATATATACGTATATATATATATGTTTATATGTTTCGTGCAGGGTTTCTGTAGTCCCTGATAGTCAGAAGGTGGGTCGGAAACCATACGAATAATAATCGTTTCACGGTGAAGCGATCTACTTCTCGGTTTACAAAGCAAGTCAGTTATCAATTTCACCAAGACTTATTCCAGGACTATACAGGGTGACTTCGAAGTTGAGTCATTTATTTTAACAGTGAGTAGATCTGATCAAAAGAAATGTTTTTTTCCTTTACCATATTTCTGGTAAAATTAAAGTAACAAAGTTATAGCCCTTTGGAAGTTTGAGTACCGCCCTGTCTCAATAATAATATTATGTGCTCGTGTTTGGCAACAACGGATATAATCCGCCTTATCGGTTCATCGCATCGGAAACAAAAAAGCGAAAGAATTTGGAACGATGTTTTTACAATTATTTTATTCAGTTGTATTCAGTCAGTGTCAGTCGGTAGCGCGTGAGTGAGTAGTGATGTCTGTTGCGTGGCTCAAACGAAATCAAAAGTGGCACATGTTTACGAAAATGCTGAACTTGTGGACATGATTCTTATTTACGCGGCATCACGGATTTATGCGGATCGGTTTCCCAATCGAGTGCAACCAACCCCTCATGCCTTTGTCAATGTAGTACAAAGGGCTCGTGAATCAGGTGACTTAAGACCTCACAGGGGAGGGCATGCCGGTGCTCCAAGACCGCACGACCAAATACAGGTCCGCACTGAAATACTTGTCGGGAGGATACTTTATACAACAAGGTAACATTTTTTTTTTATTTTTACACACATATTTTGGTTTATCTTCCTTCTACAATCATTATCTGAAAATTAATGACTCAACTTCAAAGTCATATATAGAAATACTATTAAGTGTAACGTGTTGACGACGGGCGAAGCCCTGGATACAAAGATGAGGTCAAACAAGTTGGCACATTTACCACAACGTGTTGATGTCAATGTAAATCTTCCCAGAACACCCTCGGCGTCAGTACTCCGCCCACAACTCACTTCATTGACATACCTTTAAAATGTAATTCGCACGTCGCATATCTAACAAATATGTGATTAATCTTCAATATGGATAACATCGACAAAAAAAAACAGAGCTTTATCGTTCTTGTTCAAATGTCAACCTATTTTCTATCTATTTAAATTTATTACCTTTGTGCTTTGGAATTTGAATGAAATATTACCCCATCAATATAGCCTCTGTTTCAAATTCGACTTTCACTTTTGAGACCTCAGAAGTAATAAAATAGCACTTAATAACTTATTCTTGTCAACGTCAGTGATAAGAATCAAAAACTATATTATAGCTGTGCAAAAATCCAATACGGTAAATATAAGAAAAAAATTAATGATTGAGAGCAAGAGATGGAACGCCTTAATGTAATTCCAATTATACCATCTTGTAGAGGAGAAAAAGTAGCAAGCTATTCTAAAATCCCATCTCAAACAGAGTCCGCACCTACTGGAGAAGAAAGGACAACGAAAACAGTATTCTCATGTTATCTTGCTGAAAGGTGGAAAACGTAATAAAAGCGAAGAGTTGCAGTAAAAGGTCCTGTCGCAATAATTTTGGGATCACTCTAGCTCTAGATATGATGCCTCCTCCCATTTTTTGGAATCTAATTCGGAATTTATATACCCCCTACTGTACATACAAAGTCGTGCGTGAAATAGAAAATCCGCATCAACGTCCAGAAGACGCAGGCAATCTTCATCCAACGAAGAAGGATTGCAAGACCTCCCGAAGCATCCATCTCCGACGAAGATATCCAGTGGAGCGACAAAGTCAAATACCTGGGGATCGTATTTGACAAGTCCCTCACCTGGAAAGGTCACATAGAAGCTGTCATCGCAAAGACCAGACCAGCCATGGCCCAACTCTACCCATTACTGGGTAGACACAGCCGGATGCCGCTAGCGACCAAGCTACGGCTGATCAAGGCCATCGCCAGACCTCAGCTCGCTTACGCCTTCGCGGTCTGGGGGTACGCTGCTCCCAGCTACCTCAAGCGACTTGCTGCTCTAGAGATGAAGCTACTCCGGATCGCCAGCAGTGCATCATCCTACGTAAGAAACTCAACCTTGCGTAGATACCTGCATTGGGACACCATTCACGAGTATATGAGGAAAAAAACGGAGAAAACCTTCCAGAAAGCTCAGGACCACCCGAACGAGCAGCTACGACTCCTCATGGACTACGATCCGGACGAGAGGCCTCGCAACCGCAGAGCCAAGTACCCTAGACCCAAGTCCCAGTTGGCAACCGCTAACTGGAACCTTGACTAGGAGACTAGGAGAACCCGCGGTTGCTCACCCCCCCTCCCCCCCCCACGGCGTGGAAGCAGATGACGAGGACCAGGACCAGAACCCATCAGGACCAGGAACCACCAGGACCAGAAACCATCAGGACCAGGACCAACAAGGACCAGGACCCATCAGGACAAGGACCAACCAGGACCAGGTAACATACAAGTAGTAGAGGACTTGAAACTCTTGATTTTTCGAAAATGAGAGTTTCAAGTTTATATCGATGCTCACTTAACGACATCGATAGAACTGTGCGAGGTAAAGGGAACCAACTCGGCGTTCCCAGAGACTGAAACACATGAGGAGACGTTGTAGCAGACCGCAGGTCACGCACAACACACACATGGCCTACCGAGACGCTGATGAGTCGGGCCACGCGGAGGTTAGGGTTTAGTGGATATTAGGTGGTCTCCTCAAGACAACCTGGAGTCCCACACACGCCTTAGCTCGAGCTATGGTATGGTGCATAAACGCATTCCCCCCTCACCAAAAAAAAAAAATACAAAGTCATTACTAATGTCAGCACTTCCACCAGGAGTGTGTAATAAATGGTCCAAATTAGACAGTGTGAGTTATCTTTATTATTGGATGGCATTAAAGTTACTTTCACCTGTACGGTAATGACATTTATACTGATCACCTCTCGCTCACTCCCTTGCTCTAAATAATTAATAGATTCGTTAACAAAGAATGAGTCATTGAGTCTTTTCAGGACCAAAATGCAACATTGAGTCTTAATGCTCTTGATTTAAAACATCATCAAGGGCAAAAGCTCATTTGAAGTTTGTCATAGGTATGACAACATACTAGATGCTAATTAAATGTGTACTATATATTTAACGATTCTAATGCGGGCCATTCACTAGACGGACCTGAACTCGGACGGCAACCGGGACCCGACTGACGACTCATCCACGTTTGTCAATATACTAAGTGACATATAAATCCGAACACCCAGTTTAAACGGTTTTATTTTAATAAAATTTTGTATAAGTACTTAATGAAGCATAATAAGTAAATGATAAACATTTCAAAATGATTGCACTGCTTTAAAGCCCTTTGACCTTTAATAATGTGTGGATGCACCCTGATGTGCTACGCATTCTCCAACGCGCCTAGGCATGCTTCTGATCAGGTGGTCAATGTTCCCCTGTGGTATCTCATTCCAGGCAACCACCAACTCCTCTCGAAGTGCTTCTAGAGTCTAATGAGGACGTTGCAAATTGAGCAATCTCCTACCCATCATATCCCACACGTGCTCAATTGGGGATAAGTCGGGAGATCTTGGTCGCCATGGTAACAATGTGACATCATTATGTTGAAAGAAGTCTATTGTGACTCTTGCAACATGTGGTCGGGCATTATCTTGCTGGAAAGTTGGATCTGCCAGGGTGTCAAGATAGGGTAAAAGATGGGGTTCTAGAACTTCGTGGATATAACGCTGCGCGTTCATGTTACCTCTGATGAAGATTAAAGGTGACCTGGAACCATAAGCTATAGCACCCCAAACCATAACTCCAACAGTGTGATGATCATGTCTTTCAACAAAAAACTGTGGATTCCTCCTTTCACCACCTCGCCTTCTAACGCTGGCACGACCATCGTGCATGCCTAAACAAAATCGAGACTCGTCACTAAAGACAATACTGTTCCATTCATGATCCCAGAGTGACCGTTGTCTGCACCACTCAAGGCGATTATGTCGGTGTTCTCGAGTTAAAGGGAGGACCCAGTGTGGCCGGTATGAAAACAAGCCAAAACTTCTCATTCGTCGGTAAACACTTCGCATGCCAATAGGTCTTCCGTGTTCTACAAACCATTCATTTGCAATGGACCTGGTATTGGAGAAACGGTCCCTTAAGGCCAATAATCTTAGGCGGCGATCTTCACGGTCTGTTGTTCTACGGCAGCATCCAGTGCCCCTTGCTCTTTGCGTACGGCCTTCTAGAAGCCATGCCTGACAACACCTAACCACAGTGTCTACACTTCTTTGCACTCTAACTGCAATTGCCCGAAAAGAAAGTCCAGCTTCCAGAAGTCCCACTATACGGCCCCTATCAAACTCACTAAGTTGACGAAATCGTACAGGTCTCCGTACTCTAGGCATCGTAACCGATCGTAAAGGATGTCAAGAACCAAAATCCGCCAACGTTGATTCTTTACTGCGGCTGAAATATTCATTTTTAGAGCGTTAGTGAATTAAAAAAAAAGCAGTATAAAAACCGGAATGTCCAACTGATAAGGCTGAAAATTTTTTCACTTGTTATTTACAGTAAGATAAATACATTCACCAACTTTTATTAAAATAAAACCATTTAAAGTGCGTGTTCGGATTTATATGTCACTTAGTATACATTAGACGGAAATTACACGAACCCTGCAAAAGAGCTCATTTGTACACTGAATGTGGCGAACGTCTCCGATATTATCAAAAAAGGCGAAAGTTGCTTTGGCTGTAGGTACAATCATATTATTAGAATCTGAAAAAAAGAAAAAACGTGTTTGGGTGAAAGAATGGCTGCAAAGGAGAGAACAATTTACTCATTTGCGATTATTAAAATGTATCCAATCATGTGAACCACTTGATGTTATAAATTACCTCAGAATGGACTATGACGCATTCCAAGAATTATTAATGCTAGTAAAACCTCTGATAGAAAAGAAGAACACTTTATTCAGAGAAGCAGTAAGCGTTGAAGAACGTCTGTTGGCCACCTTGAGGTTTCTGGCAACTGGAAGAAGTTATGACGACTTAAAGTAATCTTGTATAATTTCTCCTCAGTTACTTGGAAGAATAATTCCAGAAACGTGTCGTGCTATATACAACTGCCTCCGGAAGAAATACTTATGTGTAAGTACAATAATTATTTTTTTCATGTATTCTGATGCATATAAGAAACAGTGTGTTGAAAAAACTTTTATTATTTCAAATTATGTCTAACAATTAAAGATATGTGAATCAGTCTGTAATACTCGTAGTACCTTATCACTTCTTAATTATTTTGCTTGGGAAAAACTAAAAATTCTTCCATCACTTCCCTATTTGCAGACGCCTGATTTGGAGTTGTCAAAGTGGTAAAAGTTGGTACATCTGGTTGACGTGTATATGACGTGCTGGGTTCATTAAAGGTTGGGTTAATGGATGTTGTATACCTGGAGCATGAGTTTTGAAATATTTGTGCTTGCGGAACGCATGGGGCACTTTGATATGATGGTGGTTGGTAACCCAGGGAAATATGAGAAGAATGTGTGAGATTTCCCAATTTTGCATGGTATAGCACATCCGAAATGAAGTTTTGGGCTATTATCTTCTGTCCAACTGCAATATCCTGTAATTGTTGACCAGTATTTTTGCCAAATGTTATTTCTTGTGGTTCAAGAACATCCTGTTGCGGAGTTTCCAATACTTTTATGGAAGCATCCAAAAATTTATTTTTCTTCTGTGTCCAAGTTGTGCAGTTGAGAGTTCGCTTGTTACGGGAACTTGGTGTTGCACTTTGAGGAGCTTCAGGCGATAAAACTGATGATGAATCTAAATCTTGATCAGAATGTTGCGTGTATGCATCGGTTTCCTGCAATAAAATAGCTCACAGTTAACTTTGCCTCATATGATAGCTGTGTTATTTTTGGTTTCAGTTTCCATCAAAAGAAGAGGAATGGCTCAAAGTAGCAGAAGGATTTAACAATATGTGGCAATTTGAAAATTGCTTAGGAGCCGTAGACGGCAAACACATAGCTATCAAATAGCCCCCAGGAAGTGATTCATACTATTATAACTATAAAGGATTTTTCAGTGTTGTGTTGTTTGCTATCGTAAATGCTAATTATGAATTTACTTATATAAGTTGTGGAACTAATGGAAGAATATCAGACGGGGGGTCATTAAGAAAACAGATTTTTACAATTTACTGATAACAGATTCTTTAAAATTACCCCAACCAGTCAATATGCGAGGAATTCAAAATAAATTACCCTTTGTGTTTATTGGGGACGAAGCCTTTAGTCTAATGACAAATTTCATGACGCCATACAGACAAACCAACAGTATTGGTTATGAAGAAAAATGTTTCAACTATCGACTTTGCCGTGCCAGGCGCGTAGTAGAAAACGCATTCGGGATCATGGCAAATAGATTCAGGATTTTCCTAACGCCAATAGCTACTAAAGTGGATACAGTTGATGATATCGTTATGGCATGTTGTGTTTTACACAACTTTTTACGCCGCAAAAGCACTTCTTACATACAACCTAGTAACATCGATACTGAAGACATTATCTCAGGGACTGTATTGATAGGTGATATGCACATGAATGGAGAACTAATATCATTAGATGTGTCCAGGCAAGGATCTCCGACTATTGACGCAAAGATGATACGAAATGGATATAAAGAATATTATAATAATGCAGGTGGAGTTGACTTTCAACACAAATTTGTATATTAAGTTTAAGATGTATAGTATATGTGTTGAAATAAAATATCTGAATTATTATAAATATTGTCTTTTTAGATTATTTGTTAGTTAAAATATCTGCTTACTGAGGCCTGTGATTGGTCATCTAGGTTATTTCCTTCTACGAAGAAACCGCTGCACGAGACTCTTCTTGATCCATCAGGAAAGACAATAGATCAAAATACCACAATGTAGGTTCTGGTACATCTTCTGTTCCCACCCCACTTCTCTTTGAACTATTAATTCGCCTTATCTGGAGTCGGAAAGATGACCGTAAGGACGATATTTTTTTTATAACAAATTTCTTGTTGGCATCTGGAAACATTTCTTTGCTTTTGTTAATTAAATTCTCATAAGCAGCATTTTTTTTTCTGTTTGTTGCGGTAATCCTTACACTTGATGTCTCAAAGACAAGGATTTTCCTGGTAAAGTTGGATAAATTCCTCCCAAAAAGATTTATTAAAAAGACATTTTAATTTGAATTCCCTTCAAAAAATGCCTTGATACTTTCGTTGATCTCGGAAGAACTCTTTCGTCGCCGGACAAGTCTTGACAAGTTACACACATTGTAAAAACAGCACGGATTGGTCGCGGTCGGGTCGTAGGTTCGGTATTCAAACAAGCGAACTCACAACCCGACCCGGACCGCTGTGCGACATGTCTTTCGATACCATATATTGGCGGATCGGTCGGCGGACAAGTCAGGACGAACCAATCCGTCACACCAATCCACTAATGAATGGGGGGCTTATGAGTAATTTTAAGACAAAAGTTCATATAAGCATAGGTCAAATTCCTTGTTCTCAAGATTCAGCCTATTAAATCTTTTAATTACAACAAAATTAGCTAATGGACATTTGAGAAATTAACGAAAATCCTTTGTTTTAATTAATACCTTGTATCGTGAAAATGAAGAATTTGCTGACCATGTTCATGTGAATTTTTTTCCTAAAATTACTCAAAGAGTCGTGTTTTTGTGATAAATTCTTAGTTAACACCCAGAATAACAGGGCTTTCTTGTAGTGCGTGAGTGCCGGTTCATCAAGACCTAAATGTCCTGATTTTAGACAACTCTATTGATCAACGACTAACAAATGTCATCAGTACTTCTTTCAAGAGTAGGTATGTAGTATTACCCTCCTAATTTTAGGGCTGATCGAATGTTCTTGTCTCCATAAAACAAATCACCAGATAACATTTACATGGTTATTAAAGGCCAGCCTCAAATCTATATATGTGTTTGTATGTGCAACATACACAGTTTCAGGTAATTCAACGTACTAGGTTTTGTGATTGCATCATTACAATCACTCAAATTTGAAAAAAATGGCATATCTTTGTTTAAAATAACGAATTCCCATCCTTATAAGTTCGCTTACTAAAATTAAGCTCTTGATGTCTCCGGAAAAAATGGTCAGAGTAACAATAATTATTGTCAAATAGCAGTCAATACAATCTGCAAACACGGCAAGAACACTCTCACTCGCAACTCGAGATATCAAGCTTCGATTGAAGAGCAGAATACTCCTCGCTACTACGTTAAATTAGAAAGGTTTGAGGTGACTCCATCTGACTGAATGCCCACATAAGGCATAATTAAGTGAAAGCTTACCTAGTTTCTCCAATGTAAGATCTAATTATAATCCTTTTAGTGACATCTATAAGCGCCAACGACAGCCTTGTATCGATTCAAGCCAGCAACGGACTGTGCTGCGCCATCTAAGAGACAGCACTGAACGCGAGTATTGATTATATACATTTTGTGGCGACCTGTATGCGGGAGAAGTGCGCTTAAAGGACGCTTGAGAAGATGGCAGCGCGAAGGTGAAACGAATAAAATTTCAAAGTTGGTACTTCGAGCCGGATATCAATCTCATTATGAAATGCTGTGAGAAATAATTTGCGCTTCCGATTTCTATACTGCAAGCTATGAAACTTGTGACATCATCTGGAAGTTTTTCATAAGAGTATTTATATTTACATCAAATTTAAATTTACTGGTAATTTTGCTGTTGACTATTTTGGCTTGCAAAAGATTTAAATAGATGGCAGTGCGATGCTTTATGAAGAAGAAGAAAATACATTTTTGAAATATTGGTCTTTCAGTCACGTGACCCGTATCACATGCAAGAGTCAATAAGTTTTTAATTTGATAGTACATCTTTGAATGATCATATACTGGAAGTTACGTGACCTCGTCAATGGGTTCTGATATCTTTATAAAATATAAATAGGCATTAGGACTTAGAAAGGCATTTCATTAAATGCTTTTTGAGAATAGCGTGTTCATTTGTTTTATATCGTCAATTTCAAATTGAAATCATTGGCCAAACCAGTAATGAGGACCTCGAAGATTAATTAGCAAAGAAGACCCAATTAGTCTGTTCCCCGCAAGCATTGATATCAAAGTAGTAAGGACAGCTGGAACGCATGTTGATTTTGGACCCAATGGTGAAAAAAGCTTATGTCAAAATACAATCATGCAAAATTTTAAATACCTAGGTAAACTGCAGTTTTTGTATGCTTTGCAATATCTACGTCATCAAAGCCCCCGTCATATATTTGTGTCGGCTTGTGAAGTATTTATCACCACATCTGGTTGGACTTTAAAGTAACATGTTGAGCTGTGGCAGATAACACATATTATCTGTTAAACTCTAGGCGGCAGTGGACTTAGAGGCAAATCGGTACAAAATATCTCCCAATTTTCCGATTTGTACGTTTTATGAGCGAAAATAATAAAAATCGTTTAAACTTAGTTTTTTGACGTTTCGTGATCATTGTTAGGAAAGAATATATATAGGGGCTAAATATTAGGGGTTGGAGCTGTAAGGAGTGGGGAAGGTGTACCTTAGCATATTTATATGGTACAAACCTCGGTAATTCTACGCGCCTATCAGGCATATTTCACACGTTGTAGATTTTCCTGTAATGTGCGTTTAAACATTTTTATCGATACGTGTGACTACTTCTGCTCTCTACGTTCACCGATAGGCATGCCGATAGAGAGATCGACTAATTGTATGGTCCTGTTTGACTGACTTGATTCCTCTGTTATACATGTTCGTAACCAACTTCAATCTCAGATGTTCTAACTTAGTCACGTTGCATTTGTCCGTCCGATTAAAGGCAGACAACCATGGACAGCTATTTCGTGCTTTTTTGGCAACTCAACAGCACGATCTAGGATTGGTCTCTGGGACAACGGCAGAAAGCATAGCAACTACCCCGGAATATAACGTCTATGGCACCGTCTTAGTTTGATTAAATCTAACCTGTGCTGAACTTATTTCTTAATGAACTGACGACAGCGTTGCGTGGGAAGTGCAGAGTTAACCTACTCGACGCCATTTTTTATTCTAAATAGCATGGCCTCAGTTGATCACTTTCACAGCGTAAAAAAATGTTGAACTATGTTTCACGTAGCGAAATCCAAAATGAGTCATCGCTAAGTCTAAGTTTAGCCACACTGCAGCCTCGTTAGATCAGTTCGTCCGCCACTGGTTGCATACCAAGCTAACGGGACGCACCTTACCTCACCTTTCAAGTATTCGAGTCGCCACACCGAAGCAGAGTAGTGTAGAGTGCCGAGTTATACCTGCGTAACAGTGTTATTCGTGATCGTTAAGTGCTATTTTTTTGAAATGAAGTGACGTTTTCACTTTACGGACGTTGATTCTTGGATAAACTGTTTTATTTCTGTAAGTAAAGTTGATTTTTCATAAGTTAGATGCGAAAATATGGCCATATCGCGCGCCTTGAAGTGACATTCTTCGGAGACTCGATAGGTGGGTCAGAAACGAAACCTTTCTTTTAATGCCGATTTAATTATGAAATGTCGTCGTGTGTTGCCGATATGACTTTTACGTATAAGCTGAGCATACTCCTGTAAAATATGACTACAATTTATTGAAATTGTGATAAAAGAAAAGCCTTGGCATTTATTTTGCTGGATAATGTATACGTTACATGTATGTTCAATTTAAAATATCTGTGTGAATTCCTACTATGTCGCAACTATACGTAAGACATAACATGATCCTTCTCAGAAGAACAATTGAGTTCCAGTATGAAAGTACCTTCTTGAGAATCATTGGGAATCTCCAGTATTGTTGCCTTATAAATTTGGAATAAGGTCCACCCCCCAGTATTACCTGGATGCAATAAATTAATTCAATCACTAGAGGTAGGATTTGTTATCCATGGCTGGCCAATTAATACCTGAGTTATCAAAGATAAAAATAAGTATCCTCCTAAGCCCATTGCTTACAAACATGATAATTTTCTTACAAATTGGGTATGTTTATCCGGGAACTTAACTATTAATGTTCTGTCACCCAATATGATAATTCCTACTACTTTACCTAATGCTGCATTGCACACAACTTGACCCAAAGGAACAATGGTGTATAAGACGGCGATTACAGTTCACTACGGATTTTTGATATTCTGACAGGCTTGCAAACCCCATCATGACTTACATCTCTATGTCAACGTTCCACTTCACTTTATCTGCCTAGCAACAATTTTGCACAAACAAATGATAGTATGAACGTCTAATTATAGTTATATTATTGCTCTACCTATCATGACTACATTCCGTGTAATTAAATGCTCATATATACTTTTTCCGATTGTTAAGTAATATATATCTTTACGTAATCGAAAATTTAATTGTACCTTCAGCTACACAACTTCAATATGTTTCTCAGAATATTACCTACTGATTTAAAAATAGTGTCACTTAATTCGCTACTATTCAGCTATGATGAAGAAAAGATGTTTCGAATAGCCTGCTTGTAGTTGTTTTCATATTAGAACAAACATGTTTCAAAGACGTTCCCGAAGCGACCCCGTATGACCTGAGAGTCATTTCCGGTAGCCTAAAGTCGCGAGATGCCCCTGTCGCAAAAAATCAGTTCCATAGAAGGCGTCGCTGTTCGTTCCAGGAACCAATAAAGTAGCCCTGCCAGGGCCGTATGGCTCTGAGGAACGAGTAATTAAGAACATAAGAATTTTGTAGGTTGCCAACCTACCTTCTTTAATGTGGCCACTGAACAACTACAGATTAAATAGGTGTACAAGTGTTTTGGTTATCACAACATGTTATCTGCCCAAATGAGGGACAATATCCCCTTACTTAGATTCAGGTCAACATTCCTATTCGGTATTATGTAGGCGGGACAAACGAAAAATCTTTTAGATTTAATAACCGGGTACCTGGTTTTCGGGATTACTCTGGGCCAACAGGCTTGCTACCAGGGGCGTAGATGCATACCTTGCCTCAATGACTGGGGTACAAATAGTTAGTATGTATCGTCGATTATTACTAAATATACTTAGACATCTGTCGCCAATATATTATATACTGAGAGAAAAATGATCTTCAATTTAGTAACGCAGCCTAATACGTCACCAATTGTATGGAAATTGTATTCAAGCAGGTAGGCTATGCACTTCCACACAACGCTACAATCAGAATCATTAAAGATTATGTTCGTACAGGGAAATCTGTGTGTAATTTGTCCTATAAGTAGAATGAGTATATTTATGCCAAAAAGTTGAGGCATACCCTCCCCCACTCCGTAGAACTCTCCAATTTTCGAACCCTAAATCGATCAACATAAACAGAAACCTATAAAACACCAAAAAACAAAAATGGGGCGACTTCTTTATTATTAATTTTTTGCCTATAGCTCCGCCGTCACAAGATTGATTTTCAAGAATTGTAAAGCTTTTTATCGTTGGCATTGTGGTAACCATGTTTTAATATTGCATCAACATCCTAGCAGTGCTTTGCAAGTTGTAGAGAGATGAAATATTAGCGTATAATCGGGCAGACCGGCAGAAATCAACAACACGATTTTTCGTGACGTACATGAAATGTAGCACTCAAAAACCATAATATCCGGGCGTCCGACGTGGAAAGTAAAAAAAATAAAAAACAAGAACTAAAGAGCAACTCACTATTATTTTATTTTAGAAGCTCTACTATTTAGGAAAGCCACATTATTAGTACCTGAGTGAACACAGAAAATGTTATCACTGGTTTTGGGTTTGAAAGCCGTCTATTTTGTAAAATAAGATTAGCTAACGATGGTCATGACAAATAAGAATAAATACATTTTATCACAAGGATTTTGGCATTCTGGCTAAATAGGAACCCGTGAGGACGGTGCTTTATAGAGAGGTACCCTTCTACTTATTTTTTAAACGCGCCAAGATTTGAATACTGAAATTCATGTATGAATACTATATTCTAGCGTGAGGTGATAATGAAACATTCCAAGATGACGGTTCGGTGCTATTTTCTTAATGGAATGTTGGGATGTGTGATACTTGGTTGTGAAGTGAGTACCTTATATAAAATTACTATCTTTCAAATTGATGTCCTTACTGGCTGTCAAAGTTGGGTGTTTTTGTGTATTGAGTTGCTTATAACTCAACAACCAATTATCTAAACGCTATATGACTTCTTCTCTTGAGGGAGTCTATCCAAAGACATAAGATGTCAAACACCATTTGGAAAAATTGTAATTTTTTATTATAATGAAGGGCCCATTTTGTTGCACATTTAGATAGACCCTTCCAAAAGAAGAAGGTTGATGTAACACATTATAACATTTTGAAGATTAGTTGATTTTTATATTTGAACCACCACGTAGCCTAAGGTCTAAATACTCGTAGATATGTACCTTGAATTATGGGGGATATAGGATAAAGGAAAGGACGTGACGTCTCTAGGAACGAAACACGTGTGCATGTGACATGCACACATTATAACCCCATCTTAGAGTTTCGGCGGGTGGTTCATCTACGATCGGCGATCTGATACTGTCAACCACCTACGGAAATTACATGATCCACAGCCAAGACAAAAATTTTCTTGGGAAGAGATTCGAACTCGCGCTGCTGGCGGCATCTAATTACTAGACCGGAAGTATCTAGAACTACGCCACTCGTTTTGAGTTATAAGCGATCCAATGAACAAAAACGTTCAACTTTGACAGTCTGCCAGTACATTTTGGAAGATAGTGTTTTTATGTTGTAAAAAAATGTTACAACATGGCGCTCAGCCGTCAGTTTGAAATCTGCAACTGTTATTTTTGTGTAAGAATATAGTATTCGTGCGTAAATTTATTGTACTACATGTATATAGTAATGACAACCTAAAAAACGACACTACTACTTATACAAAGTGGGTAACTACCGAAAAGCATTGGAAGGAAATGTATGGAACCAACAGCTAGAAACCTGGTCATAAAGAAAAAGTAGAACCTCGCGTGATTTGTGCACAACACAATATCGATAGTGCATATAAAACAGTAGCCTTATCCGTACTGTACAAGAAACTTCTTCCAAAACCCGAGGAATTGGTTCTCCTTATTTTTCAAGCCGCATTGCCATTGGCTGCTGGTATTCCAAAACCATTCTGGGATATACGTACATAAAAAGTGTCCGAACTTCGTGATAATATGGGGAGAGAATCATGCATTAACATGCGGAGAGAATCATGTATTCTGGGTAAAAATCCATATCATTTATATTTTGAAATAGTAATAATAATCAGTTTTATAGGATTGGATTTAAGAGATGCAATACCTAAAGTAAGCTAAAGTTCATCGTGTATCAAAGCATACTAGTTCGCATACTCTATGGAAACAGAGGCAATCTTCATCCAGATCACAGTTCCATAGGAACTTTTGAAATTATTTTCATGATGCGTTTGACAGTAGCCAGAATTTTTGTCGATACACACGTAAATGAGATGTTGCCGAACATTGGAGAATGGATTTAGTTTCTGTGGCCCAAAGAAATGATCATAAGAATAGTCATGACTGTCCCATCTGTTACCATTTTGTTACCGCGTACCAGTATACGTGGTCACTAGAAATTAAAAGGTTTTATCTGACGCTCAAATGATCAGTACCTTACGTATTTTGGGTCTCTGATACAGGGTTGTACATACTGGTGGGGTCCGGCTCTCACCAGCCTTTGATACGCTCCTGGTAAGATCATTATAAGGGCTTATCTGGTAAAATAATCCCTATTCAAACCGAGTTTACCTTCCTGACTGGAACTTGTTTCGATGAGCTGGTGTCACACGATGCATGAAAATACAAGACAACCTGTGTGTTTCTTGCACGGTGGTTGATTTTTAACAATGCATATAACAGACAGTGTTTTGCCTTAACGTGAAACATATACGACTAACCTTGACAAAATTCACGGATTTTTTAGCACTGTATCACATTGTCTGTTTTATTGGTATACGGGAATGCTGAATATTTGTGTCAACCTGTTTAATATTAATTTGAGGACGTGACAATATGAAGTGTTCTATGGAGAATGAAGCTAGAACTTTTTGCAGAAGACCAAGGCCAACAAGTTTAATTCGAATAGAAACGTTTGAGTTAGGCACTGTGCTTGAATACATGTGTATAGCGCGAAAGCTTTTTGTATTTACTTCTAGTACAAGTATATGTTATTTTACACGTTATGCATAAGATAAAAAGTACTTTTATGTATGCGCAAAATGAAGGTGACTCGCCACTTATGGGCAGTTCGCCAGTCGCGGTACTACCGTTCCCTACAAGCGGTATCAGGAAAACATAGTTTCCCGACATCTCTGAACGGCAGATTCAGATTTTAAGAAGGTCGTTCACCACGTCAGCATTGCATTAGCACTCAGTGAAGTACTGAGTGACCACCATGGTACCAGCATTGGCGTACTACACAAAAGTTGCACAAGATGACGACTGACAGCAGACTCACATTCGTATGTTTGCTTTTGGTGATATTTCTCCAAATGACTCGACCTACATCGTACTGATGATTGATAAAAAGCATGGATCAACTTATATACTGTTGGTCATGGTCGCGGAGATGGGAAGCAAACAGAATATATTCAGCCTACTGTTATGGAAGAAAATCGCAATCCGATGATAGATTTTTGATTTTGAGATATAAATAATAGGCTAGAAAGAGGATGTTTGCAAAAGAAACGTTTTTTGTTCATTTTTCACGGGAACTTTAGTGCTTTTCACATACAATTAAAGACTGTTTACCGGAAACATTGTAAGAGCCTGAAAAGTTATTAATATCATTTTTTGCATTTCCAATTTCCTCCTACCTATGTTTCAAAAGACAAATAAGTTAAAATAAAAGAAGGTTTCTTTTTAATTTTTTCTCTCTACTGAGCTCTTGTTTTTCATGTACTCAAATTTCTTCAGTATATCTTAAAAAGCAAATTAGCTATGTCTACTACACCAACTACTAAATTAATAACCTGGTTGCTATCAAAGTTGAACAGATGAAAGGTCATCACTAACACAGTAATACTTATTTCAACTGAATTCTCTTTCTTCAAATTCTGTATTACATCAGATGCCATATTGACAGTCAGAGCATCAAAATGCTACTGAATTTCCTTTGCTTATTGCAAGTACTTACATACATATTGACATCTTAATAATTGTTATATTTCCTTATATGCTTCCAAATAGTTTATCACTATGTCAGACAAATAGTAACAAGAAAACAAGCTGTATTCAATATAGATTCGATTGCATTACGGAGTTGTTACAACACGCTTATTGAATATTTTACATCTGAATAAATAACTATCCGCTATCCAATATTAATGGAATTGAACCGAATAGTTTGTTTGAAAACTGTGCAGTACGTGCTATGTTACAATACAGTTCACACGAGCAATGGTTGTGAAATAAAAAACCATATTAATGTTACCATTTTACACGATATGGAAAAATAAAGCACTGAAAGCTAGCCCGTGGTTGCCTTTTTGATCCATCGCGTTTTCATTGGTTAGTATCATTCAAATTATTTATACGGCTTTGGAATATCGATTTTATAGTTGAGTTATTTGCAGTCAAAGTTAAGCTTATACAAATATGAACGGCAACATAAAAATGCAAAAATGTAAAGACTGCTGCATTTGTATTTTTTGGGAAAATGTACGTTTTGTGTTGTATAGACGAAGCATGGAATTTAAAAAAAAACGAGAAGTTATGCGACATAAAGCTGATTTTGGCCAAGAGATTTCTACACTATCTGCAAAGGTCAGAGCTTATCAAACTATCCTTTAGCTCTAAGACTAGGGATCCCAATCATATACTCGTACTATGGCTTCATGCCTGTCCCTCAGAGCATAGAAACATACAGTGAATATTCTATTTAAAACTTGCATTTTTCTGTTGTCTCGTTGTAAATGGAAACGCAGCAGAAGCAGCCAGAGAATACGCACGAAGATTTCCAGACGACATCCATCTCGCTCAGTATTTGTAAGAGTGCATCGCCAAATAATTGAAAATGGTTTTGGAAATCTCCAAAGGGATCAAAACATAAATGTTCGTCAGCGCAGATTTACCCGTATGATTCTGCGTGAGCTTGATAGAGATCCAACCACAAGTGTTATGACAGTTTCTGGTGCCTTGGGAATTTCAGCAAGCCATGTTCACCGTGTTCTTAGAAATTACCGTAGACGTCCTTACCATTTGCAACCTGTACAAGGACTACAGCCAGGGGACGGATAACGAAGAATCACATTTTGTCAGTGGATTCTTAATAGAACTGATAATAATAGGGAGTTTTTAAGTAACGTTTTATGGACCGATGAGTCATGCTTCACTAGACGTGGAGTGGTAAATTTTCATAATCAACATATTTGGTCGCATGAAAATCCGCAAGCGGTTCGGGAAAGAAATTTTCAGCATGAATTCAGTGTGAACGTGTGGATTGGTATCTACCGTAATCGACTATTTGGACCCTACCTTTTGCCTGCAAGGTTAAATGCTGCGACCTTCTTGGAATTTTTAAAGGCTGAACATGCAAATATGTGGGATGATGTTATGTTAGATTTAAGAAGATTGGCCTGGTTCCAGCTTGATGGTTGTCCAGCTCATTATTCGAGAATAGTTAGAAACTGGCTGGACGAAAATTATCCAGAAAGATGGTCCAGTCGCCTGGCCTCCACGATCCCCTGACCTAAATCCATTAGATTTCTTTGTGTGGGGATTTCTAAAAGAAAAAGTGTACCAGACTCCCGTAATCACAAGAGATATGCAAATAGTCAGAATCAGGAATGCATGTGATGAAATAAGGCCTTATTTGAATAATGCTATACCACGTTCGATCATTCGTAGATGTGAATTGTGTATTGAACAATTGGGTTTACATTTCGAGCAATTTTGTATGTTTGTCCTAACTATCGAATAGCATTTTAGTTGTAAATAATTAATTTAATTTGTTAAAAATAATATTGGAAAATTAAACATATTAATATTCTGTTTCTTTTTGTGTTTATTTGGAGTTAGGAATTATTGCTGTGTTTAAAAACACAATCTAAACGATCATCTTAATTACTTGTAATGCCCAAATCGAAAATGTAAAAAAAATATTATTTTCCCATAAATAAGAATGCATCGAACCTTAAAAATCGAAATATCTCAAAAACGGCTAACTATAACGAAAACTCACGGGAGAGCTTTTTTATGTTGAAAAGTGCGAAGAATCAGTGTTTTCATTCAAAAAGCAAAAAATTGCACTAAGAAAATTTTTTCGGTCATTTTAATACACTACAGGTACAGTAGAGAGCGCCCTCTAGTGGATACAGTAAAACTATGCCCATGGTTCGTTTTGTCGTGCCAAAAAATCCTTGAATACCAATTTTCACTATTATACATCAAATATTGTTCGAAATATTTAAAAAAAAAACTATTTTAGAAAGTAAATTTAAACACCCTGTATTTCGGAAGCCACGCATTTTTCGACCCATGTTTATATAGACTTTATGCATTAATTTTAAAAGTTTTATCGAATCTTAAAGTTATACAACAATAAACTGAAACACCCTGTATAATTACTCGGTCTGAACCCAAGACACACAACTTATGTAAATCAAAAAAATCTGCTTTTCCTAGAACTTCCTGGTATGTTTCTCAAGAAATCCATCCTCTCAATTAAGCATCAGCATTTATACATGTTTTTTCATAGAAAATGCGGTCCATAGAGCCGCTACCATATCAGGTTGAGTGGAAGCAACATTATACTTGTACATGTTTTATTTTTTATCTTTCATATGACCATCAAAAAACTCAACACTTATAAATCAAAGTCAATAACATACAGCAACTCGAAAAGTAAAGTAAATACCGAGTATTCCACAATTTCCGCAAAGAAGACCTTTACTCATACGTAAGGATAATCTAGGTAGAGTGCTTCCAAAATTAGAAGGCTGCTGAAAAACCTACAAGACTTAAATTCACTGTTCGTGCTGGTCATGGTATAAAAGCGATACTAGGTATTAATAATTGTTCGAAATTTAAACAGCTTGGGGCATCGTAATGTCTAAAGTGCTTATTTGTAATGGAAAGGACTGAAAAGTATATCAAGTATAAATGTTCAAAAGACGTAGTGTCAAAATAGGGTTTCAATTCTAGTTCAAAGACATAGCTGCTGAACTCCACAGTACAGAACATATACCTATACTGAGGTATCAAAATGGAAGATAGTAGTATGACACATCGTACGCTACTGCTACGATGTGTTTTGCTACCCTTGTTTCGATACTAGACTATAGCTATTGCAAGATTTTTAAATATTTAAAAATATATATTCCTAGGTGTGTCATTTTTTTTTGGAAAAGTAAACCCATTTCGAGAATGAATGGACATTTCAAAAACGCACTAACATTAGTTCCCGCACCCGGTACTCGGTGTTTTGAAAAAAGTACTACTCGATGCATCTACTAATTGCACAGTAAAAAAAATCTGTATGTGTAACCTGCCTGAATCTGCATTCTCTGGCATGATCATCTGTAGTGCAAGAGATTTAGGACTATAATATTAGATGCTAGCTGAGTTATTTGAAATACGGTACCAGCATCGGTGCTACCGTAGTTGCAACCATAATTTCATGGCATATCGATCGCGTGACGCAACAAACGCACAATATCTTGAATAACGCTAACAATCAGCGAAAGAAAGTGATCGAACACGGCTAGCACCAACAGGTGGTTGCAAGATTACTTAACGATATATGGTACTACCTCTCTGGTAGCCAGGTAATTAGACAAGCCGAAGTAATTGAAGTTATGTGCTATGAAATATCGCGTTACCATAGGATATATGATTGCGTAGGAAGGGATTACCTTACAATGAGGAAATTAACATTTAATGTGGCTGTTCAAGAAAAAATCATTGATGCTGAGAACTGATTATCATTCGAGTTGCATATATCTATGGGAATGCATATGGTAAATGGGGTGTACCTTTAATGTAATAGTATTTAAGTGTTACTTGGGCGTTGTAGTCGATGCAACTGGCTTGGTATATGATACAAGGGTAGGGCAACTTATAAATCGCACATACTATCTGTAGAAGAAAGCAAATCCAGATGTTCCGTGGTTTGAATACTGCTTGCTATGTAATGGAGTACCAAGCGGCGAAAGATGGGTGTGCTTAATCTTAATGGAATGTTGTCTGGAGAGATCTTCCAAATAGGAAATTGCTTGGTGTCGCAAGGAACACAAAATAATAATGTAACAAAAGACCTTACGGGAGGAACTAGGCTCTCTCTGCCCCTCGGAGGATACACCAATATTTTCCAAGCGGAAGTCTATGCGATTCTGACTTGCGCATCCCACATTTTGGAGGGGGACGGGTCTAGGAGTAGAATAGCAATCTTCTCCGAGAGATGAACGCACGAAGTGTCTACAAGATTTCTTCGAGCCTTGTAATCCAATGCAGAGGGGATATTATCGTTAACGTGGATTCCGGGGCACGCTGAGATAAAGGACAATGACGAGGCGATTGCTCTTGCGAATGCGGGATCAGCCAGCAAGCTTGTTGGTCCTGAGCCAGCTCTACGGGTGCTCGCACAAAGAGCCAGGAGGAAGAGAGAAGTAGCAATACCCTCAGAAATGGAGAAGCATCTCTAGACATTTCCGTCAGACACGGGAGCTCATCGTAGGGCCCAGTTGATAAGGATGGACGCAATCACATGTGTGAACTCTGCGGGGTAGAGGAAGAGTCGTCGGCACATGCTTTGTGTCGCTGTGAGGCTCTGAGCTACTACCGGCAGATTATACTGGGGTCCAACACTTTAGATCTCCAGAATGTGATGGAGCTGGGACTCAGGGCAATATTCCACTTTGCCACAAGGGCGGAGCTTTAGGCTTATGGAATCCGTTTATGCGACCTATGCGTCGGCTCCTCATGACGGCTGGTATGCCTCTAATTTCGTTATTCATCCATTCACTAAACCTTACGGGAAAAGACTTTCAGCCATTTTTTTTTCAAATTGATTATGTTCGTGAAAGTGTCCAAACGTTTTTCACGAGTAGTTTAGGAGGCCTCCAACTTGGGCAATCCG